CGCAAGCGTTCGAGAAAACGGGTGCCACCTGGCTGTCTCTCAGAGCACGGGAGCATGCACAACAAAAATTCAAAATTTCCAGAAATCGTGTGCACATCGAAATGAAAGGCGGCTGTAAGGACAAGAAGTTACACGTATGCATACAACACATGCACCTGCGCGAAACGCAACAAAAACTCGGTTGGCCGCCAGGTAGGGCGCCCTACCTTACCCTAGCCTACCCTACCCAACCCTAAAGTAGTGTCGGCGGCGCAAGCCAACGCGATTTTACTTGCTCTCCGGTGCGTTGTTTTACTTCCCAAAAGCAAGAGGAAACACCATCTTCCCCCTGCACATGAGCAGTATCAGAAGGTAATGTCTAGATACCAATCGTCGAGCAACGCAGAGCACTGCGTATTCTGTTGGTAACAAGCTCTTTGGTGGCCAGTCTTGAGTCTGATTTTAGTTTCTTCTTCAGAGTGGTGATTTTCCGGGGGTGGTCGTGCCTATGCATATGCATACGTATGTGCATCACACTACTGCTGTACTGCTGTCACACTTTTCGATTTTTAAGGAAACTCCGTCAACGAGCCACGTGTCTCTTCCACAGCAGTAGCCTAACCGCGGGACAATAAGGGATGTTGGCGGTACAAAGCGGGCACAACATCACGCCCTAGACGGGAAGAATGGTACATGACGACTCTCCTGGACGGGCGGCCAGCTGCTGTTGGTATCATCTGCGGATGATCTACAAAGCATGAGGCCACAGATACCATATCTGTAATGTCCTCCGAAATAACGCCGTTTCTGTTGGACTTGAGAGAAAATCTAGATATACCAGTACATTCAAACACAACATAGTATAATCGCTCGAGATACGCATACATACAACCACGGCAGCGATGGAACGCGTGTCTTCAAGTCTTGGCAGTGAGATGGGGAGAGGAAGCCTCTGCTGGGCTTACTTGAGCCTGTGTCCTTTGTGTCTTACGTGACGCCAGCTGTATGTATCCACATCTTCTTGATTTCCCAAGTTGAGGTTGAACCGCAGTTCGTTCGTTCGTTCGTACTTCGGTCTGGTGGGCAGGACTTCCTTCTCCATCGTTGGTTGGGGTACGCATGCATCATGCATCAAGAAGTACCGTACAAACAATATCTGGACTCACGCTGTCACACGACAGCTTGTATCCGGTTCGACTTCTACGCGAGAGAGGGTGGCCCTATAAGTAGGCACCGCCCGTCATTTAGCGGCGAAACCACGCACGCACAAGCAGCAGCGAGAGTGTCGGTGCCACGGCCGGTGCTGGTGCCTCTCGGCGGGGTCTTCAAAATTTGTTTGCCCCGAGAGGTTTTTGCCCGAAGTTCAGAGACCGCTGCTGCTGGTGCTGGTGCTGCTGGTGCTGGTGCTGCTGGTGCTGCTGTGTCACAGCAGTACCCGGCTTTGCGGCAAGGCTCGGGAGACAAAGAAAAGTGGTTCCGCCGATAACATAATCAGGTATAGTCTACCCCAAGAACTCTCTTGTGTGCCCTTGAGCCACGGGGTGGGTAGAACAACGTGCGCTGTCTCCTCTCAGAAAAACAGCAGTATGGAGTATGCACCATACAGCAGCAGCGAACACCCCCCCGCTTGCTTCCTTGTGGGCAAACGCAACAGGCTAGCTATGTACACTTGACTGTTGGATCTGCTGTGCTGTCAGCTCCAAGGGTAATCAAGATGACCATTGGGGAGAAGACCCTCCGACAACACCAAGGCGCTTGCTTGCGGTTCTTCTGGAAAATCCGCGCGAGCTGTTGAGGTCGAAGCAGCCTCCCCGCCCACAACTCCGACACACTGGACCGTCCACACCACAGTTAGTAGTAGGGCTACTCACCTCTGCTTCGTCGCCTTTGATGCCCGCGGATCTCGATCGCACCTCTTGGAATCCTGCCGAGCGCTTGCTTTCCTCTCTCTCTCTCGCTCCCCTGGCTTTGCAGCCGGCAAACACGGCAGGTGCTGCCTGCCTTCCTCGCTGTCAAGCTGTTCGAGGGAGCTAACAGCCAACACCCTCAGCTGTCAGTGCCCAAATAACCTCCCTCAAGACGCCTCTCTCTCTCTTCTCTCTCTCTCTCTCTCTCTCTCTCTCTCTCTCTCTCTCTCTCTC